GACCACTGTGTTCTAAACTAGAATGTTATGCAAGAATCTGAATAGCATAGTTTACTGAGTGCTCAGCCTGTTTAGTGACATACCAAAAAGTGGGACAAAGGCTAAAGCCAAAAATGTGGGGCAAGTTTTAAGCAATGAAGTTAAAGGCATATAGATGGTGAAATATTTAATTATCAAGGCAGAGACCAGGTTGTAAACTCTAGCGATGAAAGTACAAAGATGAGCTGTGATAGGACAGCTATTTGATTCAATGATCTCACTGGTTCATTTGAGCTGTAAGTGTTGCCAAAATCATAAAATTAGACCTCTCTGAACAGAGAATGGCGACGGTGTCATATATCACTTGCTTTTTATTCCCACTACCCTGGCAACACCTTAAGCTATAAATATTAATATTTATACATGAGAAATTAATGAAAGGTGATGTAAAATGAGTAGCAAGAGCAAATTGTTACAGTAAATTAAGCATATGGCATTTTCAAGTCTAGACAAATAGTATAACACCAATTTCATGGTTCTTGTAAGATTTTGTCCCAGCCAAGTCAAATGAGGCACACTTTTTACAAACCTGACTATGCTCCCGAGTCTTAAAATTTGCCTTAAATGTTACAATGTTCTGTGGCCACAGGACTCAACAAATCTCAGATGAATGAAACCTGAGTCTGACAAGCCAGTCAGGGAAATGTAAAAAATGATTTAAACTAAAGGGTATTCTAGTTTCTCTTGATAATTTTTCATTTCCCTGGGGACCCTGTACAGCTGAGAACCTGAGCACCTGTACAATGTACACATTAAGTCAACTGTCTGAATGACTTCAGGTCTGAATTCTGGAGAAAGACTTCACACTATTAATAATGCGGTTCCAGGGTGATCATGACAGATTATGACGCAGGATATTTTCAGCCTTCTTAAACCTAGAGAATGTGGACTGACCATTCTCCGGACTATTTTGCTTCTGGGTATGAATACTTAGCTGCTCTTTGTATGAAAAAAACACAGATAAGATTACCAGTACATTCATTGGGAAACTCACTCGTCAAGACACCAGCCATTCTGCCCAGCGCCCTGAAGGAGGCAAACCAGGATGTGATTGCTTGCATTTATTCTTCTCATGAAACACGCTGGTTTCTGCAAACACTGTGGTTGTTTTCCCCAGCACTGAGACCACCAGCAGGGGAATTAGCTAGAGTTTTGACTGAATTACAATTCTCAGGCCTCTACCTAGAGATCTTCACGTGCAGTCTGGTCTGGAGGCCCACCTAAAATGCTTCCCCACACCGCTGGGGGAGGTAGCGGAACGCCCCACACAGCTGCTCTACCATCACCTTGCAGCTTTGTGACCAGGGTCTGTTTACCTGAACTTGTGTCTTTCTTGGTTTACCTTGTTGAAAAGGTTTAACTAGAATATTTTCCACAATAAATGAGGAAATACATATCTAAAGCATCTAGAGCATTGTTGGACACATAGCAAACTGGTAAATGTTAACAATGATTTTAATAAAAACCACGATTGAAGACTTAATCAATTTGGCAAGCTAGTAAGCTTCCATCCTTTGTATATAGTTGTATCCTTAAATCTTTTTAGTGGAGGAAGGAAAAATGAGCAGAGAAACTTTTGAAACAGGCGGTAGTAGCAAATCTTTACAACCATATAGCTCATTGAGAAAAATTGCCAGGAATCGTGGTGTTAGAAACAAATGTCCTTCAACTTGGTATTACTCTGAGGAGTGGGCTCACACAGTCCTCAAACGAGATGCCTGTTGTTCCCGTTGCCTAGGAAACTTTCCACTCACACTACCTGTGTGGGCACCAACTCCCAGACTAGTGCCTACGCTGTGGTATCCTTTCCCCATGAGTCTTTAGTACATGTGGTCAACCATCAGAGGCAAAAGTTTTGTGTAAGGACTGATATTGAGGTCCATTTATGTATAGGTACAGATTGGTTGTCTCCAGTCTCCAAAAAGTTTGCGGACCCCAAGTTAATGGCTACTTGAAACTTAGAATACATCCTCTTCTTTATAAACAGAACACAACAAAATGTAGTTCCTCTCTCTCTCAAAGGCAAATTAATTGACCAACTATCACTTCCCACAAACCCCATCTCTTTGTGTCTTCCCATTATGTTTCAGTCGCAGAGGGGGCACATCATAAATTACTGTCTGGTATACAGAGAGTAAATAAATAGAGTATAAATAGTCTGCAAGTTGGAAGGACTTGGAAAAGCACTGGGATTCCCCCCACCCAAGCCCACCGATTGTGAATGCAGTGATTACTTCAAAGTAAAAGGGGTGGGGGAAATAGAGCAAATTCTGGGGTGAGGGGACAGCCAGTGCAAAGGCAGAGATGTGAAAAGCGTGATTATGTTTAGGGAACAGCATATGGCAAGGAGGAAATGCAGCTTTAGGAAGCTGCATCTGGGTTACTATGGGGCACAAGTTGGGGAGTGCCTGTAATTCTAAGTATCTAGTTAGGCATTTTTACTTGGTACAGATACGACACTCAGTCTTTTAAAATAGTACATCTAAGTCCTTTATTCAAGTTCACCCTGACATATACTTCATACTCTTCTGCTGCATCCTAAGAGCTACTTTAATTTTGCTTTCTTTGGTTGTGAAAAAACAAGGTCCCTTTTGTCTGGTTCCAGGTAGACTTTGTCATTTCTCAAGGCTTCTCCCAACTCAGCAATTTCCATGAATTTTGAACACATCATTTTCCTAATTAAAACTCCATGAAAGCAAGGTTTTGGTTTCCACTAGCAATTTCCATTTATTTAGAGTTTATTCTGTTCCAGCACCAGGCTACCTTAATCATCCCATTTAAAAGATGAGATAGGCTTGGAGTGTGTCACGTCTTTGCCCAAGAGTAAGAGCTAACCATTGGGAGAGCTGGGGTTTGAAAGCAATCAAACTTCAGAGGTAAAAAAACATATTGAACGCTTCACGAATTTGTGTGTCCTCCTTATGCAGGGGCCATGCTCATCTTCTCAGTATTGTTCCAATTTTAGTATATGTGCTGCCAAAGCAAACACGAAAGCAAGGATTTTTATATTTTTAAATTTGTGACTGTTTCTAGCACCTAGAATTGTAGTACCAGTCCAGATATATGTAATTCAGTAACTTTATGCACCTACGATGTGATGCCCTGTGGAAGGTCCAACGATAGCTAAGGTATGCTCCTTATCTTTAAAGAATTTGCCAGTGAATGAATCTGAAGGAGACCTGTAGTCAAGCCCCAATCAAGGCAAAATGAATCCAGTGCAACTATAAAGGTAAACATTGTTAACGGTGGTGTTGTGAACTGAATACATCTCCCCAAATTCGGATGTTGAGACCTAATTCCCAATGTCATAGTTTGGAGGTGATTAGGTCATGAAGGTAGAACCCTCATAAATGGGATTCGTGTCCTTATAAAAGGGACCCCATAGAGACCCCTTGTGCCTTCTGCCATGTGAGGTTGCGGTGAGAAGACAGTGGGTAGTGAGATAGGTGGCTCTCCTCAAACACCTAATCTGCTGGTGCCATGACCCTGGACTTCAAGCCCCCAGAACTGAGAGAAATGTTTACAAGCTACCCAGTTTGCTTCTTTTGCTCTAGCAAAATGGACTATATGAATGGACTAGGACAGGGGGCTCACAAGCAGTTACTAATTTCAACGAGAGAATTGAAGACAGGCTTCATAAGAAACTGTCCTCAAAGGCAGAATTTCCATCAGGGACATGAGGTTATTTTTGGCCAAATGATTACTAATTTGAACTCCTCTGGACAACCCAGAAACAGAAACCCATCTCAAAACAGTGTAAGCTAACGAAAGTAAAAGTGTAACTGGGAAGCCTAGGGGTGGCGTTTGCTTCAGCTCTCCAGAGCTCTCACCTGCCCATGGCGTGAACTGCCTTCTCTCCTGCAGCAGACGGACATCATCTGTGTTGCAGGAGGAAGGATGGAGTTTGGCCACAGATGGCTCCATGCTCACATGACACCATGTGCCACCAGATTATACTTAATAGCCATTGCAGATTATCTGCATTTCAGGGCCAGCAAATAAATCATTTGTTAGGCAGACAAAAACAAAAGGTAACTACTACAGTAACTAAAGTGCATGCAGTTTATTCTTAGGTGAATAGCATGCAGTTGCTGTCACAGAAATTTAACTGCCGATAGGCAGTGGCAGATCAGGCAGGAGTCAAGTTGAGCTAGGTTGTGAGGAACCCCCAGGGATAAATGCAGCTGTCAAAGGGCTTCAGTGGAAGGAATGCTGGGACCAGACCAAAGTCACTCTATTCCTCTTTCTCAGAAACAGCTTCTGGGCCAATTTTCTGAAATGTCTAAGCTGTCAGACCACGACGATCAGGCACCAAGTCTCCTTCCTTCCTCACGTTTGCCAGTACTCTCTCCCATCCACACACTGGTCCACCTCACTTCTGCACGTAGTCCTGACATCCTGGCCATTTATTTCCCAGTCTAATACCATTTCAGGGAATGACTTTTGTCTAGCACTGAGATTCTTGGATTTTTACAACACATCTAAAAACCCGACTTTTCAGTCAGTGTGGCACCAACCAAAGGGTGAGGGAACGGGAAGTTAGGTGAAAATGTAGAGACCTCCATCTGCACAGGTTCTTGGGCTTGATTTTTTACTAGTTATCCCATATCAGATTAGTCTGAGAACTAGGGTCAGCTTTCGCACCCTGTACTGAGGAGTCGTGAATGGATTACACTCTTGAAGATAGGAACACCTACCTTTTCCTATACATGTACTTTTTCCTCTACATTCTCAAGCGAGCCAGTGCACTCCAGTGTGTGGTGGCCACAGATCACGAATGGGTAGAATTAACTTCTTTTATTCTTCATGAGTTTTTGGGAGGATTCCCATAAACTGCAGGATTAGGAGGATTACGTTCCTAAGAATGCTTAGGGCAGCCTATTTTTTGAGACTGTGTACTATAGGGGCACAATCATTTTTTTGTGAATGAGATAATAAATGAATCAATTCCAATACAGATACACAGTGTAATCCAGAAAAGTACATTTACTTCTCATTGCCTTAAAATTATTCAATGTGCATATACATAGTTCCAAAGGAGAAGCATAAAAACTGGACAATTCTAAAATGAAAGTTCCTTCTTTTCCTGTCCAAACGGATCACTGCGGAGATAATCCTTCAGTAAAATTGAAGATTCTGAGAAAATTAACTTGCCCGGACTATTGAAAACAAAAGGTAACAAAGGAAAAAAAGGCACTTTCTCTGTTGTCACCACAGTCACTGACAACATATAGTACTACTATTAGAACCTAAGAGGTCCTAGAAACTGAAAACAGAAAACCTCTTGTGGGTCTGAGGACAGTGCTAGCTGCTTCTGAGAAATGTACCTAAGAGCAAAAAGCAAAAAACTCCCCAGACCCTTACTGGCAGTTTGTTTGATGACAGCCTCAGAACCAGAAAATGGTTACACCTTTCTAATGCAAAGCTCACAGGGAATCAACTGTTTTCAGAGCTCAAGCAGAGATGGAGGTGGATGTGGGTGCAGTCAAGGGAAATATGAATGGTGCCCATTGATAGCTGGTGCTTCCAGGAGAAGGTATTAAAGGTGAAGCATTAATATACTTGTTTTTCGTCTTACTCCAACAGAAGACCCAGCTTCCCAACATATCCTGACAACTGCAGGGTGGGGAGGAAGCCAGTCGCACCCTGTTAGGATAAACGAAAAACCATAAGGTGACAGACAATACTAAGCACACTCCCACCCTTCTTTGAACACAAAGGCAGAGGAAAAGTTCATGCTAATTATTTGCCAAGAGACTATTTTTGGAGAACACACACACACACACAGCAGCAAAATCTTTTCTCCCATTCTCCAAAATGTATAGTACTTGAAATTTAAAATTTCTATTAGTTAACCTATGTTGGAATAGTTTTAAAAGGGACCAGCTTGTCATGAATTGATCAAAGGCTACATATAAACATTTGAAATGAAAAGAATATTAAACATTTTACGCTATGCAACTTGTTTCCCTAACAAGTTTGTGTTTGTCACCAGAGTGAAAAGCTAACAAAGGGTTTCCTGGGTATTTTGTTTTTTAATTTTTTTTCATCCTTTTGCTTTTCTTTTTCCTGGGTATTTTGAATCTGACCCATGAAAGGAAGTCTGTCTAGACCAGGTAGGGCTCTCTTTCAAGGGAACTCAAGCCTGGAGATACCTGCTAGAAGTTTGCAGCACCTAAGGCATCAGGTTACAAAGAGGGCGGGGGTGCGAAGGATGGGGAGGAGGCCTGGAGAACGAACAGAGGTGGTTTCTACCCTTTAGGAGTTCCCTATCTACCAGGGGAAGGAAATAGGCAGCAAGGTGGAAGGCATAGCTGGGGACTGGGACTAGATTCTAATTCTGTCCCTGTCTTTGGCTGGTCATGTGATCTTAAAGGGTGGGAGCAGTCACTTGTCAAATGAAGTAATCACATGAAGGGATGAGTCTCCATAAAATGAAGGAATTAGATGCAATCAGCATTTCTCTACGTATCTTCTAATTTTTAAAAAGTCTGTTTCAGTGAGTTTGGAAAAACTCCCCCTTCTCCACCTCCCACAGCACTAGACAGACTCACTTTGCATTTAGTATATCAAAGACTCCCAAAGCCCTTCTAGAAAGGAATCTCTTAAATTTGGCATTTCCCAAACTTATTTTCTGAGACATCAGTTAACACCTGTAGCCCATGCTTTGGAAAATGATCTCTAAATCCCTTCCAGCTCGAGAATTCTATTGTTACTGACATTTTTCCTTAGAGACCCCATCGATTTCCTCCTCTCCTGCTGTGTATTTAGTCTTTCATTGAATCTTGGAGCTGAATCTAACGTGCTGCCCCTTCACTTTACTTTTCATGACCTTCATGCTGTTTAAATGCTTGCATGGAACTAAAACAGGGCTGGACTAGATGACCTCTAAATTTGTGCAAACACTTAAATTTTAAGAATTTTTTGGAAAACTATCACAAACATCCACTGAAGTATGAAACAGGACATATGCAACCCAGGCTGTTCCCATCACAGCCCTAATGTTGTTTACTAAACAAGACCTTTGAGATGAAATTGTATATCCTGCCTTTCTGTATCTGCTCTAAGTTTGAAACTACAGAAATTTCCTTGGCAACTAACTTCCTTCTCACCCTTCGTAAATACAAAAGGAGATATTTGGGAGACAGTGTGGGAGTTCCCTAGACCCACTCTGGAGGTAATAGAGTTAAGTGTTCAGTGAGGACGCTTCCTCCCAAGTGTGCTCTTTGCAGGCACAACAAGTTCATGTAGGTAAATTAACGATAGGAAACTATATGTTCTGCCCATACCTAACCACCAAAACATTTAATAAATGTGTCAAATTCAGCCAGAGTACCATCCAATTCCTGGTAGAGGCTGAGGCCCAGGATGACAGCAGAGCAAGGAAAGCGATGACTTGAGCATGATGATAGAAGTCAACCAGCCAATACTCATACAGTTCAGTCAGATTCTAGTTCTTGCTCCAATGTGTGTGACTGCCACATCCTCGCTTTAGCTCTGCCCTGACCCTTCTTCAACATCATGCTTCTTCTTTACCGTATCTCCAGACAAACAAAAGAGTTTTCAAAAACAATAGTAAGAAATACATTCAAATTAGTTTTCTCAGTTGTCCCAATTCCTTATTGGTAGCTTAAAAGACAGAAATATGAACCAACCTAACTCACCAGGAAGCAACTCAATTATTTTCTCCCTGCTATAGGCCTCACAGTGAAATCTCTAGGCTTGGTCCGGCTCCACTGGAGTGAATGGCAGGACTAGCCGAGACACTGCACTGCTCTTTCTTTTCCTCTGTCTGCTCTTTGGGGGAACACAAAGCTGGGTGGGTGGTGGTGTGTGAAATAAATGCCTTGTAGACCAGGATGCTTCAGCCCGAAACAAAAATACAGAGAGGAACAGAATGGGGATGAATGTTTACACATCACCTTCTGAAGGCTTCTGTAGAACACATTCAGTCTGAGAATTTCTGAGGGCCAGCAGATGCTGTTTAACAGAAAGAAAGAAAACTTAAGATTCCTAAGGCTTGACTCACATATAAAGTAGTAGTTATTGGAAAACTGAGTACATTTTGTAATTATGTTCTGAAACAGTAACAGTGGATTATAACATAAGTATAATTACTATTGAAAGTGATGTTGTGAACAAAGGGCTTCAGCAAAGTTTCATTTTAAAGTAAAAATTAAGCAATACTGAATTCAATACATTTTCCTTATTGTAAGTTTAAAGAACTAGGGAACCTAACTGGATTGAAACTGAACGACCTAACCAGTACTCAGAAGAATCATGATAGCATGTACACAAAATAGAGAATAAAATTTTAATGGTATCAAAAACATAACTTTTTGGCCAATTCAGTACTTGCTGGAATAAAGTTGCAAAATGTTACTCAGTAACTGATTTAGCTTCTAAACCAAGCCAGAATTACACATACTCTGTATATTACTTGAGTATATACAAGTACATTCCATGATAACATGCAGACACATGGAAGCAAGAAGAAGAGCATTATAGGATCAAAACTGCCACCCCTACTGATGAAGTAATGAACAGAAAATGAAACTGTCCAGTAATCCAGACTATCTCACTTTGAAAAGGGGGTTTTGAACGTTGCTCTTTTCAAGAATTCAAATTGCATGTGGTTAAATTTGATTTTGTTTCCTCAATATGGAAAAAGGGAAGTAGACATATTCTTATAGCTATGTGAATATACTGGTCATTTTCTTCTTACTCATTGCAAATGAAAAGGTGTAACAGACTTTCCTCTCAGGTAACAAGGGCTCTTCACATTCTAGTGGTCAGGAATGCATTCCTTACCGCTCTTAGGTATTTGAGTGTCATCCTACCCACAGCAACGTATGCTCAAGTACGTTTAGGAATAATCATATGAGATGCCAGTTTTAATTTTCCTGAGAACTGAATTTGGCCTACGAAATAAACAGGGCAGGGAGATGACCTGAGTTCACAGGAATCTCTAAATTTAAGAGAGATTACTTCAGCTTTACTAAGATCTCAAGCCTTTTATGGCAAGGGTTTCTAGGTCACACATTTGGTCATGGAACCTTGGAATCTTTTTTAAACACTAAAACGAAGTGTTCTATGTTGTACAAATTCAACGAAAGGCCAAAATAGATGAGAACTGATGGTGCTGAATAAAACCTACATGTAAGCCACAGATCCCACTACCTCATAAATAACAGCAGGTGAGATGTGCAGCTACGACCTGTGCACCCATGGTGACGATTACTGGGAAGCTAAGAAAAATCCTTGTACAATAAGCAAAGACAGCACCTTGAGAGGAACCTAGTGGCAGCCACTCAGAAGTGAGGATTGGTTGGGGCAAAGATGGCCAATGATCCCTTCTAAGTAACTTTTCCTTTGTGTGTGAGAACCCAAGAATGTGTAAGACAAGCAGAGTAAAATACTGGCTTCACAGTCACTTCTCCAAATTATGAATCGGAACTTCTTGTTATTGTTTGCAAACTACTAAGAGGTAACAAGTAAATTATTAGTCACTGATATAAAAGTATATGGTCTGGCTTCAATCTGAGCTCTTCTGATTTGCTCTGTAATCTAATTCAAGGCACTTTAAAAGTTTTGGTGCCTTAGGGAATTAACATGTTAACACGAGAATAACACTCATTTACTTACCTCAAGGAGATACTACATAGATTATTAACTTTTATAGCACTTTGAGCTCCTCAGATGAAAAGCACTGTGGAAATAATTACAGCTGAGGAAAACTCTGCGGAATCCTGATGTATTGTGCCGTATGTCTCCACCGTGTATTCTTAAACACTTCAACAATAAGGTCTGTTAGCGGCATGCCATCCCTTTATATATATTGTTTGGCACGGAGATGTTTATGTATTTAAAATCGTCATTATACTCCCAATTCCAAAGAAGTTTACTAAATTTTCCAATAAAGTTAATGAAATGTACTCATTATAGAGTTCTGTGTTTAGAAAACTTGAACTTTCTCTGAGGTTCATGTGACATAATAAAAAGTTCTATTTTTCAAAATAATTCAACTAGTGTTATTTGTGTGAAACTACAAGTTTTTAATGAAAAAAAAATACTCAAAATATGCCACAGTGTCTATACATTCATCTGAAGAGTACAAAGGTGAACTTCTGGGGGAAAAAAGGGTCTTAACACTAAATGTGGTTCTTAAATTGTTCAAAGGAAAAATTAAAAAAATGTTTTATACTTTGAAATAAAGCAATTAGAGGTAATAAATTATAAATACAGTAGTTCAAATAGTTTCTTTTTTAACATTAGTTTTGCTAAACAAGTTAAATCAAAACACTTAAATCTGTTATGCTCTTCTTCCAAAGGAACTGTAGAAATGAAAGCCTTCATAGAAATTGAAAACAATGATATCACTTTGTATAGAATATACTAGATATTGACCATTTTAGATTTATAACATATTTTGGTTAATGCATTAGATTCAACCCATTAATATGCCTTTATATTTGGGAGAAATTAGATTATAAGCTTGCAGGTCACCCAAACGTTCCTTATTTCAAAGTCTTGCTTGATTCTCCGTAGGGGGTTCTGTCAGACTCATAATTAAAATGATGAAAACTGTAAGTAACTTCTTTTGGACTGAAAATGTTTTGTTTTTAAAATAAAGTGCTCTTAAACTTAAATATTTCTTGCCCTAAACAAAACTGAAATATACTTAAACCTGAAATGTCTATTATCTTGACACATACATTTTAACAGGAAAAAAAATCAGTATTGGGCCATAAATGTCCTTCAAGAGTTCAAATTGGATCTAAATTGGGGTCTGCATTATTATCGTGCTCATGTTTGTACATGAAGGTTAAAAGAAAGAGGGCAACATCCAAAGATGACCAATAGGCAGTATGTGATGTCACAGCTGACCAATAGCGGCTCTCCACAAGTCCTTCTCTGAGTTCAAAATCAATTCTGTGATCCAATTCCACTAAAAAAGAAAAAGAAAGAAATCAAACAAGTATTACAATAAGATAGGTTCTACATAGACTTATTAAAGTTGAGGATAAAAATTGAGTTAATAGAAGTGATTCTCCTAATGATAGATACGTATATATATTTTAAAGAAAATTTTCACTCCAATTGTATGGGAAAAAAAGAGCCTTATTACCTTGGGATTCTATTTGGTGAGTCCTTCCCTTTCATTGCACAGGTCAATATGGAATAATAATGAAAGAAAACAAAAAATTTCACTTGGTAGCATAGAGTATATTTGGGGTGAATCCTGGCTTTTCCATTTAAAATTTGTGCCTAGTCTGTAAAATGAGGAAAGCAGCCCTCCTGCAGAATTGTAGGCCAGGCTTACACGCAATAATGCCTGTGGGAATGCAGCAGGTCACTCAGGGCCCTTTCATTTGGGAGGCCCTACATATCATCTGGTCTGTGGGGACATGCTAGAAGATAACCACCTTTATATAGTTCCACAATGCTTTCCTCCGTACTTGGCTGACTTTCTCAAAGGAAGCCTAGATTTTATCCAGTCAGCAGGGCCTAACATGCGCCTGGAACGTAAATGTGCTCAATAAATGTCTGCTGTAGCTGGGAAAGTTACATTAGGCAGAAGAGTGCTGATTCTTGAGAGGAAGGATTTCATTTCTAACAGTGCTGCCCTTGATTCAATGAGTGCAATCAAATCTTTTCTAAAACCCACAGGATGTCCTTGCAATGCCTGTTAAGAGAAAAATCACCTGAACAAATCAAGGCTACAAGAGAATTTTGATCAATACATTTAAATAAATCCTTAGAGAGAAATCACTTAGAAAAAATGCTATTTTGATTTTCAGGAACTAAATTGTTTAAAATTGTCAGTGAGCCATATGGAATTTTGAAAGGTTCATCCTGAAAACAAAAATGCCCAAGTCATTGCCACTCAAAGTCTGTTCTTGGTCCAGAATGCCAGATGTAAGAAGTAAAAATGGGCAAAAATTAAGGAGGTTGGAGAAAAAGTTGGGTTTTGTTTTACATTGGGAATTTCGTAATTGCACATAGAAAACTGTACCATTTTAGAGAATAATTTCATATCAATGTTTAGCTAATACATATTTTAAACACATAGTTTGTGACAATCCCATTTGGTGACTTAAAAACTTGTATAGTTATTTTTCTATTCAGTTGTTCTTTTCTGACAAGAAATGTCCATGGGGCTATCTGTATATTCTCAGGTACTGACTAGGTTATTAAACCAATTGTAAGATATATTGACATAGGCTTCTATAGTTCTAATTATTTTCCTCATTTAAATTATGATAAGCGAATCCTTAAGTCAGACATAGCTGAAATCCATGTGTGGACTGTGTAGTAGTAAAGTCTGAACCTTTTGTCTTCTGTATTCCATGGGACATTTGTGTTAGATTTGTGGGTACATTCTGGCACACTAGACAGGAAGATGGAATTCTCAAGGATGATGAGGAAGAGTCAAGGAGAAGTTAGTTATAAAGAGAAAAGGAGAAACAAGAGAAACAGAAGAGATGGGAAACATATGCATTAATATATTGGTGAAGACTACAAAATTAAAATTTCTAAGAATTTATTTTCAAATGCTACTGTAGACTGTTTTACTAGTCCAATGGTCTTAAATTCAATTGTTTTAAAGTAAAAGTCAGTTTTCTCTTTTTTAAATTATATTTTATTGACTATGCTATTAGTTTTCCCAATTTTTCCCTCTCATCCCTCTCCCCCTGCACCCCCCAACCCTCCAGCATTCCCATCCCTTAGTTCATGTCTATGGGTTGTACCTGTAAGTTCTTTGAGTTCTCTGTTTCCTATACCATTTTTGACCTCTCCCTATTTTATGCCTACCAATTATGCTTCTTCTTCCTTGTACTTTTCCCTCCCCATTCCTCCCTTGCCCGCCCCCACTGAAAACCCTCCATGTGATGTCCATTTCTCTGATTCTGTTCCTGTTCTAGTTGTTTTTCTTTTCTTTTAGGTTCATTTGTTGATAGTTGTGAGTTTGTTGTCATTTTACTGTTCATAGTTTTTTTATCTTCTTTTTCTTCAATAAATTCCTTTAACATTTCATACAATAAGGGCTTGGTGATGATGAACTCCTTTAACTTGACCTTATCTGGGAAACACTTTATCTGCCCTTCCATTCCAAACAATAGCTTTGCTGGATAGAGTAATCTTGGATGTAGGTCCTTGCCTTTTATGACCTGGAATACTTCTTTCCAGTCCCTTCTTGCCTGCAAGGTCTCTTTTGAGAAGTCAGCTGATAGCCTTATGGGAACTTCTTTGTAGGTAACTTTCTCCTTTCCTCTTGCTGCTTTTATGATTCTTTCTTCATCTTTAATCTTGGGTAACTTAATGATGATATGCCTTGATATGTTCCTGTTTGGGTCCAACTTCTTTGGGACTCTCTGGGCTTCCTGAGAGTCTATTTCCTTTGCCAGATTGGAGAAGTTTTCATTATTTGTTCAAATAAGTTTTCAATTTCTTGCTGTTGGTTCTCCTCCTTCTGGCACCCCTGTAATTCAGATATTGGAAAGTTTCAGGTTGTCCCAGAGATTCTTTAGCCTATCTTCATTTTTTTGAATTCTTGTTTCTTCATTGTTACAGTTGGATATTTATTTCTTCCTTTTGTTCCAAATTATTGATTTAAGTCCTGGTTTCCTTCCTGTCACTGTTGGCTGCCTGAATATTGTGCTATATTAATTTTGCGTATCTTTCATTTTGAGACCAAGCTCAATCAGTTCTGTGAGCATTTTGATTACCAGGGCTTTAAATTTTCCATCAGACAGGTTAGCTATCTTCTCCTTGCTTAGCTCTTTCTGGAGTTTTGCTCTTTCATTTGGGCCATACTTCTTTGTCTTGAGCACCTGTTAAGTTGTGCTTGACAGGGGCCTTAGGTATTTACCAGGGCAGGGTAACCCTCCTTGCGGCACTGCAGTGCTGCCTGTGGGGGAGGGGCCAGAGAGGGAATGGTACAGCTTGCCCTCATCTCTAACATACTTCCTAACAAATGAACTGTCACAGGAGACTGTGAGTTTCTCCCACCTCCGCAACCGCCATAGTCCAGTCAGCTCTGAGTCCAGTTTCCTGTTCAGTCAGCCCCACCTGCATGGTCTACTGCCTTACCAGTCTGGTTGACAGTTTCTTTAATTCCTTGGTTGTTGGAGTTCCATGCAGTTTGATTTCCTGGCACTTCTGGTTGTTTATTGATTTTAGATTGGTTGTTATCTTCCTTTTGGTTGTGCAAAGAAGTGAAGGGTTTTTAACTATGCCTCCATCTTGGCCAGAACTTAGAAAGCAACAATTTTCATTATAACCAGCGTTATTTTGGCTGTTTTAATTTTATGTACTTAAAATCTATTCTTAATATGCTATTACTGTTGTACAGCACTGCCTTTCATATACTAGACACTAAAATGCCTAATTTAATTATCCTACTATATGCCATTGTTAGTCTTATAACCTATAGGAACTTTAAGTTTTGCTAATTAAATGGCCCTCCCTGTCCCTTTCTATTTAGCTTAGTCTGTCCCTGTCAAAATGGCATCTGGGTAGCCAGTGTGTACCTGATGAACTGTTTGGTCTCCCGCCTTCCTTAAAAAGTTTACCCCAGGCAGTCTGACTGCTGCTGTGGTTAACCTCACATTTGTGTTGATTTTGCAGGTGGATGGGTAGGACTAGATGGGCCTATGTCTCATCTTCTCTCTCCTGTTTATACTGATCACAGATTTCCCAAGGCACCGATGTTCTACCTGACAGCACCACTCTAGACAGGATGGGGCAAGAGTGGATTTACAGTTGTAAGTGCGTAAGACAGCGTTTATTCTTGTTATTATTATTATATTATTTCCCATATGAACAACTATGAATTTACTTTTGCCCCAATCTGTATGTGCTGTGAGATGTGTTCTTGGCCAAAGTGGGCCCAAATCTACATGGAGCTGCCTTGGACCTCTCTCACGATCACCGCATGGAGAATGGGGTAGCGCCACATGGGTAGGTCGGCAGTTTTTTCCCAGTTTCTCTCACTGGGTTAGGTCGAAGAGGAGGAGAATATAAAACCATCCTTTGTCCTTCTTTCTCTTTCTTGAGTGCCTAACTGCTAGAATTCTTCTATTCACAAAGAAAAGAATGAGATTCCTGAACAGCTGAAAATAAGTAAAAATGAGGAAAAAAAATGTTGGCTTTTAACAGTCAGCAGCTTGCTTATATGTTTTAAAACATGGATTTTCTTTTCTGGGGATTCACGCATATGAGCATATTTCCCTCCCTATTCCCCAAAGAAAATGCCTGCCATCTATATCATGTGAAGGTCAAATGTCATCAGTACTAAGCTTTTATCAGAGAATTCTCATGTGCATAAGGTTTGTCAACATGGATATGGTATTAAAAATATAACATGTGAATAGAAAGAAAGCACTTTAGTATTATAATTGCACTGATTGGATAGGTTACTACTATTTAAAGGAAGCATCTTAACTTATCTAGATAGAAAATTTTAAAAACTTAATGAATCTTAAAAGTTATCTTATTTATAAGTAATAATTATGGTCATATTTGCATGATTTTGGCTCCAGGCAGACACCAAGAGAAATAAAGTAGTTAAAAGGAAACTGTGTTTCCAAATGTCTGGTCAAAGATTCATCTGTAATAAGAAAGATTATGCTCAGAGTTCTTGTTAGCAAATTATGCCTTATTTTTGTGCTGCCTCAGAGCAACTATATATTTCATGTACTTAGGTATTTGACATTCAAAGAATATTTACATTTTTTGAACTATCGTAGCTCCAAATACATTTAGGAATATTTTCCAACTACCCTTTGAGAAAAATAACAAAAACTCTAAAACAAGTTTTATAATTAGTTATAATTTCTGCCAAAGAAAGTTTCTCCACACTAATCTATCCTGAAAGACGTTTAAATACCTAAATTTAACAACAGATCGGCTATATGGGTAAATAGAGAGGCTTCACAGGTCAATCTTGAATACAAAAAACCTCCAGGAGAATGGCAAGATTTGTTGGAACCTCTACAGTCTGGTTTAAGAAACTTTCCCAGTCATATTCAGAACTAACTTACTTCCACTCATGCCTGGTACTTTGCAAGAAAATGAACTTCTGGTTCCTTACACACTCTGTGCTTCCCATCTCTGTGCTGTTGCTTACTCTGTTTCTTCTCCCTGCAATGTTTTTTAATCTCTGCATGTCTAAATGCTACTTCCAGGAAGCCTTCTACGATTTCTCCAGGTGAAATCACATCCTCACTCCTTAGAACTGACAGAATCCTTTACCTGTACCTCTGTTATGTGTCTCATCACATCCTACCACATACTGTAGTTATTTATGTAGTTATCTACCTTCCCTATAGAATATATGCCCTCTGGAAAATACTCCATTTCCACACCAGCATTTAATATCTTTATGGGTGGTACTTGTCTGTTTTATCTTGGTATCTTTTCTAGAGACTACCTTGGTTATCTTTGATCATGGTAAAAATTTAGTAAGTAGTTGTAGAATAAATAAAAATGAAAAGAGAAAATAGAAGCCATATACATATTACCAAGTGAATCAGTTTGGTGTGGTTATAATTAGTGGTGTAATGGCTTAGGTAGTTGGTATGGCTTTAAGACAGAGGCTCTAAGGTTGCCAGAATGCAGGACAAATGTATGAATGAATAAATTTTTTGTTCTCCAGCTAAATACGCAAGAAGCACAAATTGAATTATTTCTTTATGGAAGTAACTAAAAATTACATGAGCAGGTACCAGAGTAAGCACTGTTATAAGCTCATTTCTTGAGGGGAATTCACTGAGTTAGATCAGCACAAACTGTGACTAGGGAGAAAAAAACCCCAAATCAATTTGTTAGACTAGAACACTGTTTTAAAACTTTTATCAAGAGTTGTTCTGAACAATAGAAAAATAAAAGAAAAAGAAAAATGTATGAAAATTTTCAATATGGATATTATATAATTAGATATGGTTAAAATATTCAAAGAAAAACCTGTAACATATCTTTTGTTGAAGATAAAACCCACTCTTTTTAAAAATGGAAAAAGGATTTATGGAAAAAGGAATCAGAAGTTAATTGGTGAAAATAATTTAAACTGCAAAGATTAATCTTTTGTGTAGAATCTGGTGAAAAGACACTGAAAATATCTCTTACATTCAGTAATTCTAATTTTTTAAAGCAAACTTACACTTCTAAAGAATATTAAATATTTGTACTGAAACCAGCTATCAGCTGATGACATACCTAAAAGCCCTAAGTGGTAGTGTACTGATATCTGAAAAAACTAGGAAAGATTAAATCTTTAACTATGAAAACCTTTTATATCTAGTGTAATACATGAGAAGTACAGTGAATGTCCTTCAAAGCCCTTAGGACAATAGAGAAGAAAAAATGACTCATGTTCTTCTCCCCTCTCTAAAAGGTTCCTTCTTTGTAGGAGTGTAAAGGAGTATCATATATTTTAGCACATTACACACTAATCAACAGTTGGGTTTCAGGATCACTACCATTTAAGTATAGAAAATACAGAAAGAAAGTACATATAAAGTAATCTACAGGCTGATTTCTCAGAAGAATTGATCCAATTTTTTTTGAATGAGCAGAAGAACTCTCTTAGTAGATCATTTTTACAGTATTCTGAATGCTATTCCTGACATATACCATACCGAGGCTATTATCTTTATTCTGCATTACATTTTCCGGAAAAAGAAGTTGTGGGAGATTAAAGAACGACTCCTGAAGTCTGAAATCTGTGAAAAAAAGAAACACAAGATGCTGTAAAGTATTAGCTGATAGTTACAAATGGCCTTCAATGATGCAGTGGCCAAAGTTAGAACAATACTCCCAAATAAGCTGATTAAACCTAGCATATATAATGAAGGACACATTTTGTTTTTTTTTGTGAGGAGTTCTTTCATGGAAAATGTAAGCATAATTAATTCTGAAATACAATGTCATAATCTGTTAACACCTAGATATCCCCAAAGCGTATAATTCATTTAAGTTCTAACCTAGAGGCAAACACTATGCTACAAGAAACAGATCTTTCCTTTTAATACTTTACAAACATCAGGGAGCATAAGAAATGGAATAGCAAAATCATTGGAAATAAGTCTAGACTTCTTCAAAAGAAATGAACAGTGAGTGCTATCAACTTGATGACAACTGACAGCACTCAGTCCTCAAAGACAGAAACCCTGATTAATCATGAATTCAAAGTCTGCGCCCATCTTATCCTCAAAGAGAGAATCAAAGTCGGCAGCTTCAGAACAAAGGTTATAGAGAAAAACAGAGGCAATCAAAGTGAGCAGAAAGAAGGAAAGAAGCCAGAATTACCTAATCACAAAGACCAAATTCCAAAAAGAAGACTTAAGTTTTATGATTTGCAAGAGATAGCCAAAATAGCAATTAAGACTTAAGAAATTAGTCTAAATCAGGTTTACACAGAAGAGTATATCATTGAAGCAAATCAAAGAATTAGTAAGGCAAATCTTGAGGATTCCATTTAAAAGGCAGAATTCTACTGTACTAGTAGTTGCCTAATTTTAATAGTTACATCTGCATCTAGAGATGAATATATATAATTAAGATTCACGATTAGCTCAGAATTAGTTGAGTGTATAGTTCACAAGGAGTTTACCATTAGGACCAACAAAGAATTTATATGTAAGAATGACAGAAAATGCATTTTGTTAAGCCACCAAAATATAACGATGCAATATAGCTAAGCACCTCTCCTCTCTGTTGTCCAGAAAGAATAGTGTTCTCTACTATCATTTTGAAATTACTATGTTAAATAGGAAAACAAGACAAAACAAACCCAAACTCACTAAAAAAATAGTTTTCCTCCCTCAGATCCTATAGATTCCCCATGTCTCTGTCACCCTTTCTCTTGGGGAACCCACCCTGCGCTTTTATTCCCTCAATCAATCCCACTGTTTACTGGCATCTGTGCTGGGCATTAAAGAATCGTGACTTTTTACCTACCATCTTACAAAATTCTTTGAAATTACTTTTCTTCAGAAGTTTAGTTTTCTTTTGAAATCTGCATGTTATAACAGGATTTTGTATTTTCACAACCACAATTCTGATACTAAGTAGAGGTGAGAGCTTAAGTCAGCAACAGTATAGAATCTCTTATAAGAAAACTAAAATATGAGATTTATAAATATCAAAGTCACAAATGAATTTTCTAGGTAGTGTTCAAAAGGCTTGCAATTATAAAACGTTCAGTATTCATTCCAACAAAGATTAAGTTAAAACAATGCTACTGGCCTAAATAGGAATGTCCAACTCAGGCATGCCCAGGATAATTCACCCCAGGGTGGGGGTGACTATGGAGAAAGATCCAGCCTCTAGGATTGTCACAACTGAATTTCCTTTTAAAGTAAGATTTATGGATGGCAATGATTGCTGGTCATTTTAAAATTTAGAGTAGCAGGCATAGTAACAAGACTTTAAGTATCTAAAATATGACATTTAAAAATTTTTAGAGAAAGAAAAGTTTTTCTCTTCCTACAGTTACAGAAAGGAGTAGCTTGTTTCAGAATCTACATTCCTACCCTGGTCAGTGTAGCTCAGTGGATTGAGCATGGGCCTGTGAAGCAAAGGGTTGCAGGTTCGATTCCCAGTCAGGGTACATGCCTGGGTTGCAGGCCATGTCCCCAGTAGGGGATGTGTGAGAGGCAACCACACATTGATGTTTCTTTCCCTCTCTTTCTCCCTCCCTTTCCTTCTCTCTAAAAATAAATAAATAAATAAATAAATAAATAATTTTTAAAAATCTACATTTTCTTAAATAATTTAATGGGAAAACTGGACTTGACTTTTTAGTCTTATTTTACTGGACACTTAAAAGTGAGGGTCAAGCCCTGGCTGGTGTAGCTCAGTGGATTGAGTGCGGGCTGCGAACCAAAGCATCGCAGGTTCGATTCCCAGTCAGGGCACATTCCTGGGTTGCAGGCCACGGCCCCCAGCAACCGCACACTGATGTTTCTCTCTCTCTCTTTCTCCCTTTCTCCCTTCCTCCTTCCCTCCCTCCCTTCCCTCTCTAAAAATAAATAAATAAATCTTAAAAAAAAAAGTGAGGGTCAAGTTTAGACCCTTGGAAGTTAATATACTAAGTGTATTAGTGTTTCACAATAACTCAAGATTTTAAACCTTGTAAGTCTACTAGAAAAAATAAATACAACTCCATTCTAATGCCAAGTCCTTCACTCATTTCTAGAGTACCTGCTTTATGCTAGGTAGCTGGGATAGAACTGAAGGCCATATAGTGGATCCAATACTAATGGAAGCACTGAGGTTTTTATAATTAGGCTGGATGAAAGAAACAGAGGGATTAGCAGCAGATGGCTTTGGCATAGCAGTTTTTAAAAATATCAAGAGTAGATACAGCATAGGTTTGATGCAACTACATTAATTTTTAAGGGCAAAAAGACCATATTTTTAAAAATCTACTTTATAAAAACCAGGGGGTGCTTATCTCAAAGAGATTTGTTTCATGCTCCATACTTAGGACCCCTGTGCCACAAGGCCCTGATTATTATTAATCCACCAATGCAGGCAGTAAAACTGCCACTTACCTGGAATTAGTCTTAAAAATGTAAGCAGCAAAAGAGCATTTTTAATGTAAAAGCTTTAGATTTTAGAGTTGACTGCTAAATTTTAAAAAAGATACAATATCTTCTCTTCAATTTTAAAAAAGATACAATATTTAAACTTAAGGAAAGAACAGTATGAACTAACATGCAGAATCAAGAAAGCCAGAACTGCTATGTGGAAGGGTCTGTGTTGCCACAGTGGTAGTAGAAGGCGAGGCAACTGGTTTCTTTTCATCTTCTACTGAGTCTTTTGATGTCTCAGACGACTGTGATGTAGATGAACGTCCAAATCTTGAGAACAACATTCCTCCAAGTCCCTTTCCAATGCTAGCAGCCCCTGCATGTCAGAAAACAGGGCAGTCATTCTGCTGAATTACACCGCATACCAAGCTAAAGAGCACCACCCATAATTACAGCCAACTGGCAGAAGGACCAAACCCTAGTCATGTTTTTCCAGGGTGGAACATTTAAAAAAAAATCACAATTATATTACAGGTTTAAAAATAAAAATATCATTAAACAGAATGAGAATGAATAAGCTCTAGGAATTTAGCTTACAAAGGAACAAAGATTCTGTTTTATTCAAGTGGTCATTATTCATTAAAATATTTGGTAAGATTAAACTCTTTAAGAACCATGCCACTGACATGGGCATATATTTATTAGTCATATGCTCAATACTGAAGTTAAGTGGTTATGTTATAAAAAGCTGTCAATAAGCAATCTGTATGACGAAATGAAGCAGAAATTAAACCAGCAGGTAAAGCCTACTTATAGTGCCATCTTGTGGCATTTTATATTAAGGCAACTTGTAAGCAAAGGCAACAGACAAATTCAACTGGCATCTAACTAACCTCCAGTGCTATGCCGAATATTGTGGCTGGCACTGGAGATCATTCAGAGGCAAATTAAATATCCTTGTTGCCCTCAGGAAGAATACCATTTAAGAGACTTTTGGGACATGCATCAGAGAACTAGTTGGTAAGGCTGCCCTCAGAACTCAAGTACCTTATTTCACGGATGAGGATGCATTTAAATTCTATGACTTGTCTAAGATCTCACAAGATTAAAATCAGGGACTTGATCCCCAGACCTTTTCTCGTGCATCCACCTTATTTATAATGCAAAACTACAGGATCTGATCTACTCAGAGAACTCCTGGGCTTTGGTCCTCAACCATGAACAGTGAGAGGGGTAGTTAATTCTAAACATGGGAATTAACTGTTGGAAGGTTTGTAACACATAGAGTATTTCCAAATTCTCCAAACTTAATGCCATAAAAAAGTACTTATATTCACTGATAAGTAATACTGAAGAGAAATTACCTAATATGCTTGCTTTGCCTATATTTGTTATAGATTCTCCATAGTGTCGGCGGGATAAAACAGGTGAGGTCACAGGGCTTGGTATTGTTGAAATGCCTTCATTCTCTGAAACTGAGGTAGGTTCTTTTGTTGGGTGGAGAAAGCTTGGCTTCATATGCTCATAAGGTACAGGATTGGAAGTATTATACCAGTGGATCTGGACAGGTGAAATGTTGCTGTAGTGTTTCAGTATTAACGGTTCTAATCTATAAGCCTTGATTAAAAAAAAATTCAAAGAAACAACATTAAGGCTCAGATTTTAGTAAACTTTATTTATTTTCATTTTAGTGCATGCTCAACAGACCTTAGGAAAATTTTAAAAACCTGTTATTTCTAACATGTATTCCTACTTGTTTACTCTTAGTAATATGTAATTGGTCTAACAGTTCCTTAATGATGGAACTATGAAAAAAAAAACCAATTAGGATTAGTCTACGTTAATAGTACCCATTAATTAATCTTTCATAGAAATAAATTCTTTTTTATTATGTTCTCGTATCATTAACAGATTTATGTTAGTCTCACAAACAAAGTTGAACCTATAAAGAGTAAACAGGAACACAGCAAATAAGATCAATTCTTAATCTTAGGAGCTCCTAGTAAACTCTATTTTCAAACAGATTAACATAATAACACACAAATTAGATGCAGATATTATACTATTTGTCTAATGTGAAGTGGAGATGATACAGCAGAAATGGCAATGGATTTGGTGCCAGAATTCCCTGAGTTCACATTCTAGCCTCTATCACTCATGACCTGTATGACACCAAGTCACAAAGTCTTAGAGCCTTAGTTTCCTGAGCTGTAGGAATGGGGATAACACTTCCTCTCAAGTATGTTGCAGAGAACAGATAATATCTATAAAAACTGCCTAGTACAGTTCTGACATAATCATTAAAAAAACATTACTTTAAAAAAATGCAGGAAAACTATAAAGTGAATAAAAATAGTATTAATGAGATTATAACCCTCCTTTATAATTCAACAAAATTTAATGTTATACAAAGGACACTGAAAGCTCCAAGTTCACGTTCAAGTTATAAAACAAATGAGCTAAATTAATGCATATTAATGAAATATTGAATATCTAGCTACATGTTTTCACATATACAAGGTTGGGCAGAATTAACGCCATTGAGTATGGTTGGTAGGGTATGTGAAAAGTCTCGCACGAGGTGGAGAGCAATTTGAACATTTTACCTAAAATGCCACGTGGTGTGCTTAGTGTGATCTTGTTTTGTTACAGAATTACATGCTTAGGATTTTGTAATGTAAAATTTTTATGTGAAAGAAGAGGGGGACCTGGCTGGTGTGGTTCAATGGATTCAGTGCTGGTCTGTGAACCAAAGGTCACCAGTTCGATTCCCAATCAGAGCACGTGCCTGGGTTGTGGGCCAGGTCCCTAGTTGGGGGCATGTGACAGGCAACCACACATTGATGTTTCTCTCCCTCCCTTCCTCTCTCTCTAGAAATAAAATCTTTAAAAAAGCGGGGGGGCATTATTTGTGCCAGACCCTCTATATTACTTATCCTAACAACCCTATGAGGTAAATATTATCATCTGTATCATACAGATAAGACTTATCAAGTGCTTTTTCTGCATCTACTAATATGATCACGTAGTTTTTATCCTTCATTTTGTTTACATGGTGAATCACATTTACTGATTTGTGAATGTTATACCAACCTTGCATTCCCAGAATAAATCCCACTTGATCATGGTATATGATCTTTTTGATGCATTGCTATATTTGGTTGAGTATTTTACAACTATGTTCTTTGGGGATTTTGGTCTATAATTTCTTTTTTAGTAGTGTCCTTATCTGGGTTTGAAATTAGGATAATGCTGGCCTCATAAAATGAGTTTGGGAAGCTTCCATCCTCTTGAGTTTTTTGAAATAGTTTGAGAAGGATAGGTGTTAGTTCATTTTGGAATATTTGGTAAAATTCACCTGTGAAGCCATCCAATTCATGGCTTTTGTTTGTTACGAGCTTTTGATTACTGCTTCAATTTTATTAGGTGTAATCTGTTTATTCAGATTCTCTGATTCTTCCTGAGATAGTTTTGGAAAATTGTATGTTTCTAGGAACTTACCCATTTCATCCAGGTTGTCCAGTTCGCTGGCATAGTTGTTTATAATTTTTTTTATAGTTCTTTGTATTTCTTTGGTATCAGTTGTTATTTTTCCTCTTTCATTTATGATTTTATGTGGGTCTTCTCTCTTTTTCTCTTGATGCATCTGGTTAAAGGTTTGTCAATTTTGTTTATCTTTTCCAAGAATCAGCTCTTGGATTCACTGATCTTTTGCATCATTTTTTAAAGACTCTATTTCATTTATTTCTGCTCTGATCTTTGTTATTTCCTTTCTTCTACTCACTTTGGGCTTTGTTGTTCATTTTCTTGTTCATTTAAGTGTAAAGTTAGATTGTTTATTTGAGTTTTTTCTTTTTTTTTTTTTTAAAGATAGGCTTATAATGCTATGAAGTTCCCCTCTTAGGATTGCTTTCCCTGTGTTCCATAGATTTTGGATTGTTGTATTCCCATTTTTATTTGTTTCAAGGTATCTTTTGATTTCTTCCTTGATCTTGTTGTTGACCCATTCATATAACAAGTTATTTAGCTTCCATATCTTTGTGTGTTTTTTCAGTGTTCTTGTGATTGACTTGTAGTTTCATTGTATTATAGTCAGAGATGCCTGATATAACTTCAATCTTCTTAAATTTACTGAGACTCGTTTTGTGTCCTAACATGTGGCCTATCTTAAAAAAACATTCCATGTGCACTTGAGATGTATATGGAATCTGTCCAGAAGGTACCCAGCCATGTAATATGCAAAAGAGACATTAATAAAAGATATAAAATACAAAAAACATTGTATATAGGATAATGACACCTCAATTCCCTTCAAAGTTAGGCACCTTGAGATGTCACATAGTTCTCCCAATAGCCATCAGCTGCCCCATCATATTTTCCTGAATCTCATCAACAGCCTGAAATCTCTTCTCTTTCAAAGGTGATTTTAGTTGGGGGAAAAGTCAGAAGTCATGAGGTGCCAAATCTGGGCTGTAGTGGGGCTGAATCACTTGGATGATTTGATGTTTCACCAAAAAATTGCATGAGACATAATGCACAAGCGGCATGTTAACCTGATGAAGCTGCTAATCACCAGTTGCCCATAGCTGCATCCTTCTGAATCATCCAAATAGTTTCCATGGAGGAATGTTTGAGCTTAACCCAAAATATTATGCAGATTCGTTGCTCTACTTGCTCAGTCATTTTGAATGCAATAGCCACACAGTATACATGGCTCACTCAATGGTGTCTATTGTCCCCACTAATTAGTACAGTGAAGTCATCATTGTTCATTCATGTGCATTTCAGTCTACTCTCCTTGGCTGGAGGTTACATCAATATTGCACAAACTGTTCTCGTTATATTACAATGGCTGGACTTTTTCTGGACAGACCTCATATTCTGCTGCTTTGGGTGAAATGTTCTGAAGACATCAATTAAGTCCATTTGATCTAGTGTGTTGTTTAAGCCTGCTGTCTCCTTGGTGATTTTCTGTGTGGAATATCCATCTACAGAAGTCAAAGGGATATTAAAATCCCTGAGTGTGACTGTATTTGTCAGTTTTCCCCCTTCTTATGCATCAAAATTTGCTTTACATATTTCGGTGCTCCTATGTTGGGTGTGTAAAATATTTATTAGGGTTATATCCTCTTTTTAGGTTGTTCCCTTTATCATTATGTAGTGTCCTTTTTTGTTTCTCACTGTAGCGTTGTTTTTAAAGGCTGTTTTGTTGGATATAAGTATTGCTATTCCAGTTTTTTTTCTTTCTATTTGCATGACACCTTTTTCAATCACTTTACTTTTAGTCTGTGTGCATTTTGTGATCTGAGGTGGGATTCTTGGAGGCAGCATATGTATAGGTCTTCTTTTCTTATCCATTCAACTACCCTGTCTTTTGGTTGGAGCATTTAAGCCATTTATATTTAAGGTGAATATTGATAGATGCATATTTAGTGCCATTTTATTGGTAGACTATTTTCCTCTGATTTTTTTCTCTCTGTTTCTTCTTCTTCTTCTTAAAGTAAGCCTTTTAAAACATTTGTTTCATTATTGGTTTGGTGTTAACAAACTTCTTTAGCTTTTTCTTGTCTGGGAAGCTCCTTATTTCTCCTTTGATTTTAAATGCTAGCCTTGCTGGGAAAAGTAGCTTTGGCTGTAGGACCTTGCTTTTCATCACCTTAAATATTTCACCGCACTCTCTTCTGGCCTGAAATGTTTCTGTTGACAGTGTAATTGGTGCTCCCTTGAATGTAACTATCTACTTTTCTCTTGTGGCTTTTAGGATTCTTTCCTGGTCTTTAAGCCTCGCCATTTTGATTATAATGTGTCTTGGTATAGGCGTCTTTGAGTCCAATTTGTTTGGGACTCTCTAAGCGTCCTGAACTTGTGTATCTTTTTCCTTCACCAGATTAGAAAATTTTTTGGTCATTTTTTCTTCAAATAGGTTCTCGATTCCTTGCTCACTCTACTTTCCTTCTGGAATTCCCATGATGTGAATGTTGTTATGCTTCACGTCCCGTAGTTTTTTTAAACTCCTCTCATTTTTAAAAATTCTTTTTTCTTTTTGCTGCTCTAATTGGGTGTTTTTTTCTACCTTGTCTTCCAAATTACTGATTCGATCCTCTGCTTCATCTAATCTACTGTTTATTCCTTCCAGTGTATTATTTTTTTCCAGATATTGCATTCTTTATTTCTGACTGGTCCTTTTTTATGGTTTCTATGTCTTTTTTTCATGCTGTTGAGTATCCTTATAATCATTACTCTGAAGTCTCTGATAAATTTCTTGCCTCCATTCCATCCAGTTCTTCTTCTGAAGAATTCTCTTGTTCTTTCATTTGGAGCCCGTTTCTTTGTCTTCCCATTTTGGCTGCCTCTTTGTGTTTATTTCTACGTGTTAGGTAGATCTGTCAAACCTGGCTTGTGAGTAGCTCTGGGCAACCTGTTTGGAACTATCAGAGATCAATAGCATGTGGCTCCCTCTCCTGGGTCTTGGTGTGTGCACAAAGAACCAGGCTGCACACCAAGACTGGCTTTTACCAGCACTAGGCCCAGGGGAGGGTCAGCTAAAGTCTCAGAGCTCCCAGAGATCTGCCTCTGCCTTCAGGCTTTCTGTTAGGCTTGAAGAGTGAAAGCCTTCACTCTGTGGTCCTACACACTAGCTAACAATCTTTTAAAAAGACTTTTACACAATTATATAAAGCTATTTTTCAGAATGCTACTTAAAATAGTTTGTTTTAAATTTAGTTATATCTAGCTTGTCCCCCCTCCAAAAGACTTAAGGAAGCATTTTTCTCATCTAAGAAATTATGTATTAAACTGTTTACCTGGATACATGATCCTTGGAGTGTTTACATTAAAAAAAAATGCACAATACAAATGTAACAGAAAATACAAAAATCCCAAAAGTTTATAATTCTACCAGGCTAAAACAAACTCTTCCACTTTTTCATGTGTAATACATAATATTTAAATATTTTCATTTCTAAGAGGATCTACCAAACACATTTTGATATTGTGGCATGCTTTAGAGAAAAAGTATTTAAAGTGAGATTCTCAAAATTTGATTGCTAGGTTATGGGTATTGCAACTGGTTATGGTTTGAAAGTCCAGAAGATTCCTGTCCCTTATATTATTATTTTTACACGATACTCTTATACTATAAGTACAACATAAACAGGTCATTCCTAAGGTATTTTATTTCCTGAGTCCTGTATCATCTAAAACACAAATGTTTAAAAAGATGAACCTATGCAAGTAAAATCATTAAATGAGCTCTCATTAATTCAGTGGTAACTTGCAAGGTTTCTTAAAGATTCTTTTAGGAACAATTTAATGGAGAAAAATGTCTATATATGCAACTCACCACTGGATCTGTTGGATGAAAAATGTTTAGTAACCGGTTACAAATCTCTCTGGGCAAAATATGGTCCTGACTTCCAGTGTTTCCTGGGCGAATGCCACGTAATGCCAGAAAAACTGCCAGTGGGGATCCCATGCAGAAGAAATTTTCAACCTAAAATAATAGTCATTCAAAATTTTAAAAACGGTAAAGTGTTTTTTAATAGAATTTGGACATAACATACGGTAAAATACAAATAACAAAATTATCTACAAATATATGTCTTTTCTATGAATTCTGTCTAGATGGCATTTGCATTATTTAACTATATACATTATTAATTAATTAATTAATTAATTCCATGCAATCTATTTGTAGGAACAACTTTAAATATAATAGAAAATAAATGAGAAGGATAAAGGAAGGTAATTTCATTGTGTTTCTATATGCTAATCAAAGATTTATTAAGCCACTATTTGCCCTGGCTGGTGTAGCTCAGCGGATTGAGCTCGGGCCTGCAAACTAAAGGGTTGCTGGTTTGATTCCCAGTCAGGGCACATGCCCGGGTTGTGGGCCATGTCCCCAGTAGGGGATGTGCAAGACACAACTGCACATTGATGTTTCTCTCCCTCTCTCCTTTCCTTCCCCTCTCTATAAAAAAAATAAAAATAAATAAAATTTTTTTAAAAGCCACTATTTTATGTGAAGTGATATACTACATTCTGTAGAGAATATAAAAATGAGTAAGGCAGAGTTTTTGCATTCAAAGTTTAGAATCTTGTGTGGAAGGCAGAATAAAATAAATTCATAAGATAGGGAAAGTATGATTTCCAACCTTTTTCTTCTCATGGCACAAATAAACATTACTGAAATTCTGCGGCACACCAAAAAATAAATGATCTTTTTTGCCAATCTGACAAAAAATACATATAATTTTGATTCATTCACACAGAATGGCTACTGTTGACTGTTGTCTTTTTTTAATTGACAATCTGACAGAAAAGGGGTTGGTGCCCCTGACTAAATAGGCAGGTATTACATGTTTAAAAAATTCTTGCAGCACACCTTTTGAAAACTGTTGCTATAAGAGAACAGAGAAAAAGCCCTGGCTGTGTAGCTCAGTTGGCTGCAGCGTCGCCCTTATAAGTCAAGGTTTTGGGTTTGATCTCTGTTCAAGGCACATAAAGAAGCAAGCAGTGAACGCATAAATAAGTGTAACAACAAATCGGTATTTTTTTCTCACTAAATTCAATAAACACAAAATTTTTAAAAGGAGAGAACAGAGAAAGGAGTAATTTATTTCAACTCTGAAGTCTTTGCAAAGGAGGAAGCATTTTCATGGGCCAAAAAAGATGAAAAAAATTTTCACGGTTGGGGTTGGGATACTGGGTCTGGAAGCACATGAATTAAAGCAGAGGGAGGAAAGAACCTGGTTTAACTTAGGGAACAGAAATAGTCCGACATGGCTGAAATATTAGGTATGGGGAAAATGTAGCTTGGAGTGAGAGAATGCTACAGAACCTTGACTGTTTGACTAAGACAGTTAGGCTTTATTTTATAGGTGGTCAAAGAGAATACAATTTGACCCATGTTTTAGGAGGTTGGTAACTGGTAGTAGCTTGTGGATAAACTGGAAAAAAGAGAGTCTGGTGACTTGGAGACAAGGTAGGAAATTATTGAGTTTAGGCAAAAGATAACCTGAATCCAGGCAGGACTAGCTGTCCCATTCAGAAATGAAAGTATGAGTAGACAGGGTGGAATGAAATTGAATGAATGGTGACGGGGATGAGGAATGAGTAAGAGGCAATTCATAAGATTAGATTCTGGCTCACTGGGAAGCTAGTGATTCCATTAATTGTAACATGAAACTCTTAGGTAAATTCTATTTTTGTGCATACTAAGTTTGAGGTATTGTGTTTAGTGGCAGAGCCTCACAATCAGAATCAGTTTCCCATTCTCCAGACCAAAGTCTGTCAATATCTTTTTTTTTTTTTTTAAGTTCAGTAGTCACCTACAACATATCTACCACCTCTATTCTGAAAGTAAATCCCTCTGCCAGCTAACGGACACCAAAGATTTATGTTCCTTTTAGAATTCTGGAGTCCAAAGTACTGATTTGCCAATTCATCAGACATTCCTTTTTAAACTTTAGATTTCTATATTTTTTCCTCTGTAATTAATAATTTTAAATTCATATCATTAGACTACATATGACTTTGTATTGCGATCCACAAATATAGTGCATAATTACTAGTAATGTGATACTAAATTTTGAGACCCTAATATATCTTGGTGGATCATATTCAACTCTCTAGTAAAAAAACCAGGACATAAAACAGAAGAGTTTACTTTTTTTTACCAGATAAATTCTATGTATTTGACATTGATTATATACAATAATTGTGATAAAAATGGAACTCAAATTCCAGGTGGGGATGATTCCAAAGACTATGCTCTTACAGCTTTTAAATATATGTTATAAATTTAGTTACGGTTTTTAAATGTGTTAAGTTAAAAAAAAAACCTTTACCAATTGTAGAGATAGATTCTATTATGAAAATTCTGAATGTTTTATTTAATTAGTTTTTTTCAATTACAGTTTACATTCAATATTATTTTCTATCAGTTTCAGGTGTACGGCTTAATGGTTATACAATCACACACTTTGCAAATTGTTGCCCCAAATTCTTACTGTTTTAAAAAAATTTTCTGTATCATTCCATTACTTAATCTGTGTGTTAAGTTCCTGTGATTTAAAAAAAACACAGATTTTAAGAAGAGGTAATACAGTATACTAAACATGAGCATATAGTCAGCCGAAAATGAGCATAAGGAAACTTATGCCATACTCCATTTAACAATGGAAACACTGCTTTTCAGCTACAGGATGTATTCTTTTCAACACTGAGGAGAATATCAACATCTCTCTGCCATTTTATTCTTTTAAACCATTGCTTTTGACAGCTCCATTCTGATGTTCAAGAACTCTGAAAAGCTTCCTACTGTCCATATCATATATAAGTTCTTTATTTTCAGCTCCCCCTGCTCTTCCACAGCCTCCCTGCCCTGAGTTCTACATATTAACCTAACTGGTTTGTTCACCCTGCTCCCAACAAACCTCTTGTGTCCCATCTTATGCTTTTGTCACACACCTTTCACTGACTGAAATACCAACTTTCCATCCTTAGAATCATCACTGTTATATTTCCACTTATTTGTCTGATCCCGCACAAATTGCTGGGCACAAAGGTTTGTTAATTCTAAATGCTAAATATTTCCCAGCTATTTTTCTTTTCCCACTGCTTGAGATTATTTTGTGTTTCTTGAACATACTATATAAAGTTATATCACTCCACACCTTTATGTTCTTTCTTTAACACAGAATAGCACTTTTCCACTTAGAAACATTCCAACTTACTAACAAGAACAAATGTCATTCCCTTGTATCCTTTTTAGCCAAAAATAAAAACCTCTCTCTTGTATGTACATCATTCTGCATACTGCTGATAGCAGCAGTAACACTGTGTTATACATCCTAAGGGCTGGGGAACTGTCTTATCTTTTCTTTGAAGAACCCAGAAATTAGCAGTGTCCATCCAACACACAGTATGTGTTCAATAAACACCACTTTGAGAGAACAATAATTAAGATTTTGTTTGAATCCTACTGTCATGCCTCTAATACTGTTTGGAAAAAGAGTGAAATAATGAAAATCTCATCCATGTTTCCTTACCTTAAATTTTAAGGCAGGTGTTTGTGTCATAGATGATGCCTTCAATCCATGCAGCCGTTCTTCTATTTCTCTCAGCCTAGGAAGCAGTATAAAATTATGTATATGTATTTATAATTTCATAATTTTAAGTGCTCACTAGTTCACTAAGTATAAAGAAGAAATTGATGACCCATGATCTAATTCCTCAAATTAATCCCTATGGACAGTATTTAATAAATGTATCTACTATAGCATAGAAGGTCTACAAAAGTTTATGAAATGATTAGTAAAAGTGCAACTATTCATAATACCTGCTGTTAGTAGGTTTTTTTGGGGTGGATCCTTCAGTAAAATGTGAGGCAAGTATATATCTATCTCTCTCTTGAAAAATCACACCAAATGTTTGTACCATATACATTGTTCCATGTCTTCCTCCCTCCCCATATTTAATAATGAATCTCAGACATCTTTTCATTTCATGGCTTCCTGATCTACTTTATTCTTTATAAATGGCTGTGTAACAGTCCATCCTACAAATGAACTACAGTTTATTTAATTCTTCTCTGCTAGTGAATGTTTGAGATATTTCAATTTTATCCCATTATAATGTTCCAGATCTACTTACATTTAATAAACAACGGAACTAAGTTAAAAAAGAAATAAAAGGTTGCAGTTCATTTTATAAGCCTTTTAACAATTCTTTTTACTAGGTCTTATATAGAAAATACTGTTCTGAGGCTTGCCAACATGACATTTTCTTTCAAAACTAGCAATTACTTTGCCACTGTAAACTTTATGTATCTAGCCTATGGTATTTCATAAGATTCTAAATAAAAATCTGTAAACAACTTCCATTAGACTAAAACAAACCCAAGGCTTCCTGAGTAAAAATTTTAGTCAACTAAATTGGTTGTTTTTATACAACACTATCAAAATGAGTGGCTTTTCACTGTGTTATTAAGAGCAACTAGACAGCCATTAAGAGGATAAAGAAGAAAGAGCATGTAACTAACTATACAGATAATTAGAAAATGTGTTGAAAATAGATTTGCCAAGGAAAAAGGGCTTGAAAATTATTTCCAGAATAAGAAAGGTAAGGGTCCCTCTCCCTAAGATTAGTGAAACTATAAAGGATTACAAACTGATAAATATTTCAACAAGGATTCTACACAGTGATTCAACTTTAAAAATGTTTTAGATTTCACTTCTGATAAACTGTGAAGGACAGACCAAAGGAAAAAGCAGCAGATAACAAAGCCATTTATTTTATGTTACAGGAAAACGCACATAATTAGCATGAAAATAGTCTCTCCTTGATTAGGTACATTATCTAATAATCTTTGTACCCTGAACAATGTATTTTTTCTTTATCATGAAAATCTTCAAGTTTTCCAATAAGTCCAGTAATTCCATGAAGACATTTTAAATTATTTTAAGAGGCTAGGGTATTTTACCGTTGTTTTGTTACATAGAGTTCATCAAGCAGATGTCGTTCTTCATAGCTCATCCATTGTTCATCAGGCAATTCTTCTTCCTTCTGCAGCAACTGTTCATAGAGTCGAACTGGATTCCAGCCAGTCATTATGTCATAAGTAATTACACATCCCAGTGAATGTGACACTATTGAGACTTTACCCCCTTTTTCTTCAAAGTCTGGATTCCGAGAACAGAAAAGGGAATATAATCGATTCAGCTCTTGCTGAAGGCCTTTAACTAGCTGTTTGAAATAAGAGAATATTATCATATTAGAGTAATCACTGACTCCTATAAACTTTATTTCTAAACTCAAATACATTAAGAAAGAAAAACATACATTACTGTCCAAATATACCTAGGTTATTAAAATTAATTCAAGTACTTCAAAACCTTCCAGAAAATGAAGGTATTTATTATTATAATCCATATCAGGGGTGTCAAATTCATTTTCACCAGGGGCCACATCAGCCTCACAGTTGCCTTCAAAGGGCTGGATGTAATTTTAGGGCTGTATATATGTAACTACTCCTTAAATAGGGGCAAGGAGCTCTGTGCTGCTGCCAGGTAGAAACAAAGTGCCAGGCCACATAAAACATGGTGCAAGACTGGATTTGGCTTGCATGCCTTGTGTTTGCCACCTGTGATCCATATCATTACTAAAAAATAAAGGCAGATACTACCTACACAGATCCTTTCACAGTCCTTAAACCAGCTATATGAGCCAGCAGTTCCATAGATTAAGATTTCAAAGAGCCCCTGGAAATTTCTTCTTCATTGCAACTGTAAATTTTTGTACCTTGTAGTTTTAAGGCCATAGTAAATTTTAGGGAAAAAATTGAGTTTATGATAACAGGTATACTTATTATATATATTATTACCTGATGCATTTATATAAAAATGATGTAATGAAATGCCACTGTAAGATTAAAGAAAAAGCCAATGTTGATCTACTTGATATTCTAAAACTCCTAAAAGTTGGTAATATAGATATGAGTAGAATGTTATTTTATATGCTGGAAAACAAGGCTTTTTAAGGTTTAGAGGTTGATGATGTGGGAAGTCATGTAGGACATATGACAGCTTTAACAGTATATGTCATAAAGTCAGAAGAATATGGTTCCTTTGTTACTCAAATCCATACTGGGTCCTGACCTGAGTTTTAGGGCAGTTTTCTCCTCTTCCTATCATCATTGCTGACTACTATACTTAATGGTAAATTTCCTGCTTGATATTCAATTTCTCAATTCACTAGTTCTTAATATGCCAGCTGTTACTCCAACATACAAATATTAGTTATGTGTTGCTTCTATTTTCAATCTTACTATTATGTCTCAAGGGCATCTAGACTCCATCAGATTTTACTGAATGCCCTCTACCTGCTGACCTAAACTGAGAATCATTTGAGCATTCATGCTTAGCAGGATGAGCAATGACACGAATGAAAGCATGGTGTTCTCTTTGCTGACATCTCAGAGCTCTGCAATGCAACACTGAGGGTTTTGTTAAAGCTACTGAAACCACGTGTTGGGTCTGATGAAATATATTGATACACTGAAGGAAGAGAAGGACAAGATGAGCTGGTAGCATATGGAAGGATTATAATAAAGCTGCCCTTTCTCTAGGGAGGAAAGCAAAAATTTAACTTTAATTGCACATTTTAATTTTTTTCCTGAGGAAAAGCAACAGAATCCCATGCTTTAATGCAATGGTTCTCCAACTTTCAATGTGCATCAGCATCATGTTAAAGTAAGCTTGTTAAAGACAGCTTACTAGACTCCATCCCAGAGTTTCTGATTCTGAGTCAGCAGTTCTAGGGACTGTACTTTGCAAACTATTGCTTTAGTGGCAAAGGCATATAAAAGCCTTCTAAGGAATGGGTTGCAGGTAATTCTAGTCAAATTATTTCAAGAGTAAGCAGTGTGATATTCAAGCACACATTCTGTTCAAAGTGAACTATAATATCTTGGCTTTGATAATATGACTTGGTTTTGATGTGAATTTCAACCAGCTTGTAAAATTTTGTAATTTTCCTGATTTACAATCTAAAGTTGTAGAAAAAGCTAATGTTTAGATAAAATAATAATTCCTTCAAAAGCAAGATTTGTTAATAGTTTTTATTTTTGAAGGCCTAGTTTTAAGACTCATACTATGTAGATCTAGAAATAGTAAAAAATACATACTTAAGTACTCTGGGAAAAGGTACTTAATTTGTGTTTTTAAAATACCAACCCCTTCAAATTAAAATTTTAAAAAGAAAAATATCTACCCGTATCTCTACCAGTGATTAATTTATTTCATATTTTAAATATTTAAAGCACCTCTCACTATGTACAATACTTCCTTAGTCCATCAATCATATACAGCTAAAAACCGGAGGGTAAATATTCAAGACAAAGAAATTTTACTTGACATTAAAGTATTTCATCACAGAATGAAACAGAATGTACAGCTTCTGGAGAGCTGATGCTTTTATCTGTTTTAATAATCATATACTTAAATAGAAATATGGTCTTCATGTTTCCTTATCAGAACGTATCTAGAGATGGTAGCATTTCTAATCTTTGCCTGTACCTTACATAATACAGGAACACTTGTGGTCAACATATTATGATTTTGAAAGCCAACCTTTAAAAAGGCTTTGCCCTACCTCTAATGCTTTTATAAATCATCCACTCAACAGAAAAAGGAGAAATCTATCTCTGTTTAATCCATGAAGTCTACTGAAATTACGTTTTTTTTTCCTAATTAGGTTTCCTTTTCTCCTATCAGATCCAATTATATTCTAGCTAGGATCCCTTTGTGAGGGAGTATATTCATTTGGGACAAAGAAATGATAAAAGATCCTGAAATCTTAGTTTCATTAGCTCCATATATTATCTAATCAAGTCAGCTAACCTCTTACACAGTAAGCATTAAATGGCTTTTCAAAAACTGAAGAGTTTCTAAATCTCATAAGCACAGCTCAACAGTTAAAATTTATGAAGAAAATCAATCCCCGCCAACAAAAATCCCAGCAGTATTTTCCTATCAAGAACATTTTTTATTTTTAAAGATTTTGTTTATTTATTTTTAGAGAGGGGAAAGGAGGAAGAGAGGGAGAGAAATATCAATGTGTAGTTGCCTCTCATACGCCCCCTTACTGGGGACCTGGCCCACAACCCAGGCGTGTGCCCTAGACTGGCAACTGAACCAGTGATCCTTTGGTTTGCAGGCTGGAATTTAATCCACTAAGTCACACCAGCCAGGGCCAATTTCCTTTTTTAAAAAAATTACAGTAAGTTTATTAATTACAACAGATTTCAATTAAATAAATTTCAAATAACAACGGCAAGATACTGCCATAACAACTTTTGTTGTAATTCTTCATTTTTAAAAACCATTGCATATAGAGTTCAGATGTGTGCAAGATAAACAGTTCTGATTTTTCATGTCACTTTATTTAGGGTTGAAGTAAGGACCAAGGGCTCTCTGATGTTTTGAACGTCTGAATATTAGTTCTGTTTTTTAAAAAATAGAAAAAAAATTCAGAAAGTGTGACCAGAGAAGTACTGATTTATACATAAAACTTTTTTCCTAACCATAGTTTTTTGTTTCTTTTTTTTTATTAATTAATCACTGTTCATATACAGTTTTCTCCTTTTTACTCCCAATCCAGTTCCCCCTCCCACCCTCCCCACTTCCCTCCCATTACCACCCTCCCCTTAGTCTATGACCATGTGTCCTTTAAGTCTGTTCCTGTGAACCCTTCCCACTGTCCCCTTAAATTCCCTCTTCTCTCCCCTCCGGTCACCATCAGCCTGTCCTCTATTTCAGTGTCTTTGGTTACATTTTGCTTGTTTCTTTGTTTTGTTATTTAGGTTCCTGTTAAAGGTGAGTTTTTTGTTTCTTAGTGATTACTTGCACACTCATGAGTTAGGATCCTTCCATGAGCAACCTCAAAGTCATGAATGAAAAGGGACCTCAGAGATAATATAACTTAAATGGCTGTGAAGGAGTCCCTTCAGTAGTATCCCTGGTAAGTTGCTCAGCCTTTAGCAGTAGTATCTCTACAGTGGTCACTTCTTTATCTAAAATGTTTTTCTAGTTTTACTGAGATATAACTGATATATAACATTATATAAAAAGTTTAAGGTATACAACATGATTTGATATATGTATATATTATAAAATGATTAGCATAATAAAGTTTGGTTAAAACTCAACACTATAATTTTTTTGATAATACCTTTATTTTTTAAAGGCAGCATTAGCTATTACAAAGTTATTCATTAGTAAACAAATGTGTTCCTTTCCATATTTTCTACTCACTGATTACTTATTTTAATTTCTAGAGTTAAAAAAAATATTTCCTTTTTCCTTTTTTTCTAAATGGTTGCCCTTGAAATACATAAAGACAGATATACACTTAATCACAAGCTGAAAATACAAGGACAAGGAATTGTACTGGAAGCTTTATATACATATATATGTATATCTTTAGTCCTCATGGCAACCTTTATCTGGTACATATTGTAGGTCCATTTTATAAGTGAGGAAGCTGAGAAAGTGAGAAATTAGATTTAAGGTCACATAGCTAGTTAAGCAGCAGGTTTTGAATCTGTATCTATTTGATTCCAAAGGGTGATGGGAAGGGGAAAAAGATTCTTTCATACATCTATCAATCAATCAAACAAGGTTTGTTCACTAGGCATGAATTAATCCCTAAAGAACTGCTGGCTGCTATTTATCACAACTTCTTTAAGAAAACATATACTGTTAAAAAATAGCTCATTCTAAGATACCACCTAAAACCACCTTTGCTACTAAATGAACTTTGGTTTGCAAAATGAGTTTTCCTTTTTCAAAAATAAGAAAAATTTCTGCTCACTTCCAAGTTTTTCTTTTGTTCTTCAAAATGCCTTAGTGATGTTTCCCATATTTCTCCCATGGTATCACCCGTGGAACTGTTAAAAACATAAATATACAGGCTCTACCCTCAGACCCACTGATTTAGAACCTCAAGGGAAGAAACCTGAGAAACGTTTTGTCATTTTCTTAACCTTTTATTTGAAAATAATTTCAAATTTATAAAATGTTGCAAAATAAATAGTACACAGATCATCCATATACCTTTTACCCAAGATTCAGCTATTAGCATTTTAGCCTATGTTTCATTACTTGTTCTATTACACACACACACACACACACACACACACACACACACACACACACACACTTTTAAAAGATTTTATTTTTAGAGAG